TTTTTTTTTTTTTTTTTTTTTTAACTAACATTACTTCGTTTTCTTCACACACAAATTCAATCAGGGACGGTATTAGGTCCAGGGGGGCCCGTGGGCCCCCCTCAATTTTTTTTTAAAAATCATTATATATATATATATAAATACCATAAAAATAAATAAAAATGTAAAAAAATATGTAGAATATATATATATATATAACTAAAACTTATTCTCAATGTTATTTTAATTTAAAGTAAATAATATTATTTATTTATTGAAAAATATACTAAAAATCATTATATTTTACATTTCTGGATAAAATTTTAAAAATATTTATAATAATTTAATCTTTCGGTCTTTTAATTGTAATTTCAATTTAATGATTTATAAAACCTAGAACTTAGTTTGATTGTTAGATTTTTTTAATGTTAATCGATTGTAGATTTTAATGTTGATTTTTTACTTTATTATTTTTTTATGTAATCACATATTTTCAACTTTATTTAATTTTTATTAAAAAAATGGTCATTTGATAAGTTCTAAATAACAAAAATGATATGAAATGTGTTGAATTTAAATCAAATTTTGAACAAAAGAACTTATTTTTCATAAATTATAAATACACGAAATCTCATTTTTTTCTTAAAAAAAAATCTGAAGGTGATACGGTTCTAAATTCTTATAAAAACTTGAAGGTCCACATATTAATATCTATAATTATAAGTAAACAAAATTTTATATGAATTGAGTTTCTACGTAAATTACAAACTCATTATTTAACACTTAAAATCGGGCCTGAGTTAAAATCCTAGCTATTCAATCCATTTTTCGTTATAGAAAAACTCTCACCCACACATCCATCATCTAAAAACACATATAAACCATAAATATTCTCACAATATTTACGTTAGGACTTGCAAAATATTTAGATTATTCATTAACAGGTCTGTACAACAACTTCCCATACATCAAAGCAAGCTCAACAGCAACTGAACCTAAAAAAAAAAAAAAAAACTAAATGAGCATATATCTCTCAATGGTTCATCTGCAGAGGCTTGCTCATCGACCAGGCACTCAATCGCTCGATCTTCACAGCCTCGGTCCCATTATTGAACGCGTACAAATGTGCATTCGCATATAACGCGAGAACCGGATATACTCTGGACGTAATGACCGTTTTGCCCCCGGCACCGAAACTCTCCACAACAGAATGATCAATCTGCATGATGGGGGCAAGTAAGTGAATGGACATATATATGATTAATAGATAAGAAATAATGAAAGAACTTAATATGTATGAGTAAATACCAAGCTCCTGAGAGAAAGCTTCTTGTCTTTCAAGTCAACATTGACAAACCCTGCAAATGAGGGCCGGTATGCCGGTTTACCATCCTTCATGTACGTCTTGCCATCCATTAGAGTCGACCTGTCGAACAATTATAACCCAAAAAAATTAAAGGACTGAATATTTGAAAATTAATTAAATTTTTTAACGAAAGACGAGACGAGAACACGCCTTGACGCATCCGAGCACAAAAGAACAACATGCTTCTTGTGTTGATCCTTGAATACTCTGAAGAAAACAGGGGTATATTCCTCCAGGTTTCTTGAGGCTAACGTGAGCAGCCCAAACGGGCCCAATCCACCTCGCACGGTCGAGCCCTTTTGGCTACACAGCTTTTGCCCATCATATCTATCCCACTTTGGATCAAACGGCTCAGCCTTGTCCAAGCTATCGAACGAGAAGGTGACGTCCACGTCAGCCTGCCAAGCACACGACACGCACGTGATTAAATTCATGATCGATATACGGTCTAGATTGTTTGTTTATTATTTTAATTTACTTGTGCAGCTGTAATTCCTTTGATTTCCAAGTTTTCGCCCTTTTCGAGCCTGCGGTTGCTCAATCGAACCTTGTTCCTTCTCAGTGTTTCAACTTCCTCTACGGGCCACTGCAACAGTTGGTCGCCATTTGGGTCGAGCACAATCGTACGTGGTATAAGCTGTAAAAGGAAATCAAAATAAATATATGAATAAACACGGTGTCGCGGGTTGGTATTACCATGCAACAAAATAAAAAACAACACAATCGAATTGTATGTTGGATAGATAGATAGATAGATAGATCGATAGATAGATACCTGAATACCAGCCCATCCTTTGTTGACGTCATTGTCGGTAGAATCGGACTCATTCGCCCAACCCCACAAAATCCTTCTATTCTTTCTCGGGTCGAAAAACGACTTGGAAGCATAAAAGTTCCCATAATCGAATCTCAACCCGTTCCACCCGTCCACCATGCCCTCGTCCGGAACATACCTATCCTTGTCAACATTATAGGTACCTATAGTGTAGTACTCATATCTAGTCTCGTCCAAGCTCACTTTAAACGCATGCTTCACTTTGGAGCCCAAAACCGAAGAAGCATCGAGCCCACCAGATGGCGAGACAGGGAAAAAATCGGGACACTCCCAATTCCCCGTGCCACCTGTCGAATGCAACGGGTGCTTGGCCTTTCTCCACGTCATAAAGTCCCGACTCCTGTACAAAACCGCAAGGCCTCTGTGCTTCCTCCTGCTGCCAATCGCGATTCTCCACTTCCCGTCGGGCCCAAGCCAGGCTGTTGTCGGGTCCCGGAAAGAGGTCGAGTTGGTGAACGGGTCTGCGACTATGAGCGGGTTGTTATCAGGCTTGACCCACTCGCGAAGGTACGGGTCGGATAGGTTTGCTGGGACTGCGTAGTTTTGGACTTGGGTGTTGTTTTCGTCGACGATGCCCGTGTAGAGGATGATGGGCCGGTTTCCGGGTAGGATCGTCGCCGACCCGGACCAGCACCCGTATTTGTCGAAAGGCTTGGACGGGTAGATTGCGTGCGGGACCTTTTTCCAGTTGACCAGGTCCTCGGAGACCGAGTGGGCCCACACGATGTTCCCCCACACGGCCCCCTTGGGGTTGTACTGGTAGAACAGGTGGTACATTCCTTTGTAATACATTGGTCCTGTTTAACAAAATTCGTATTCATTAACGAATTACATATACCATGTTTGGTTCAAGTATATAAAAGGGAAGGGATTAGATCGGATTACTTACCATTTGGATCTGATTTTTGGTTCATTGTGTCATTCAATCAAAGGAGGGTACATGAAAGAAAAAAAAAACATCACATCAGCAAAGGCATATGCCAAATTTACACAAATACATATACTCTCAAAACTACTCAATTAGCCATGCAAAACTAAAGAACAGAGAGGAGGTATGGGAAATGCTACAATCTCGTTACGGAACCATTCTGTCGGGATTTGTAACAGTTAGATCATCATATAATCGTCTTGGGTAGTTGATCTAACGGTTACAACCCAGACAGAATGATTCCGCAACGGGACAGTAGAATCTCCCGAAGACGTATACCGTTAATCCAATGTTTGGTGGGCTGGAAATGATAGCTTGTTCGATGAACTTTCCTCACATTTACGGCGGGCAAAGACTGTAACTCGGGATAAACATCGTGAAATCCACTTACGTTGTTGAGCCACGCCAAACAACATACCAACAACAAAAATCGAAGGCTTCTTGAGAACTCCATTTTCGTAAATATGCAGCACAGTAAATGACAATAACAATGATAAATAATTTGTTCAAGTGATGAAAAACTAGGGTAAAAGAAATTGGGTTATTTATAGGCCCAAAAAGGTTAATGGGCTGGGCTTTAAGTCGGGGATTGCTAGAGTCGCGTCACCGTCCGTTCGTTTGACGGTTAATTATTATTAGTGTTTAGATATATCGAAGTTGATATTAAGTACGTGTAGATTACGTAAATAATCCATGGAAGTTTTAATAAATGGATAAGTAATGATTGGATGGGAAAATAATTAATTAAGTAATTAATGGGATTTATTAAACAGTTAGGTATATTTAAATGGATAAGAGCGGGATTGGATAATTTAAACCTGCGATCTAATCAAAAAAATTTAAAAACCATTCAAAGCCGTTGCGGTATTTTCTCGCGTGTATTTCGTGTATAATAAGACAGATATGTTTTTTCTTGTTTTTTTTTTTTTTTTCATTTTCATATTGCTGTATATTCTAGCTATTTATTTCATCCATATAGTTTTTTTTAAGGAAATGCTACGTACTCGTTACGGAACTATTTCGTCGGGGTTTGTAATCTTTAGATCAACTATTATCACGGTTACATGAATAATCTAACGGTTACAAATCCCGACGGAATGGTTCCGTAGCATTTACCTGAAAATGTAAAATAGTAAAAGAGATAGTAATACTGAAGGATAACCGTATGTAGTAAATGAGATAAAATAGGACTGTATAAGATAGATATGAGGGGAGACAGATTCTACTAAAATCAAATCATACAAATAAACTAGGACAACATTTGCAAATATTGACATTGTTTTTCACACTTCGGCAAATTATTAATTTCTTTTTTTTGTACATATATTATTATCATATCTTTGTTATTTAGCCTAAATTTTAATGATATGATGATATTGCGATTTAAGGTGTAATATATACGATTATAGTTGTGAAATATAAGAAATATCCGTACCATGTCAATATAAGGGCTGAAAATTTATGATTTTATTGCACGTGTTTCTATAAATTTTCGTTTCTATGATCATTAAAAAGAACTAAAAAGTTATTGTCTCATCGTTCATGTATAACATAATGCATGGTCTACGTTGATATCCGGGTAACAAAAATTCTATGGAGACATTGAATGGTTTTTTTATAGAGTCATTCACTACTTAATGTATTGACACATGTTCAAAGTGTATTTAATGTAGGACACGTGTCAATATACTATTGATAAATAAGTATGGACGACTCCATAAGTCGAGTCATTCGATTGCTCCATAGCAAAATTGTAACTGGTAAGTACAACTATCAAATTATCAGATTAATTAAAAAATTAAATAACTAATTCTAAATATGGGATATGGTACAAGGTCGACTGGATTCGAGAAACAATATGACCGAACAGGATAAACCAGTAGGCCGAACGAAGACCAAAGACAGAACAAATAGAAGAAGCTTCAGGTCGATGGGGCCGTGGATCTAAAGAGCACCGACAGGTCGAACTACGACCCTCGGATAGCTTGGTTAAAACTCAACCTGAAGTTATGGCTAGTTCGGACAGTACGAACGGGCAATCTGGGCAACCTACTTGCACAATCTTGGGCCACGTGGCCTAAAAGTTTAAGTAGTAAAAGATAATATGTTTATTTTTAAACTTTTTTAAGGATAAAACTTTTAATTAACACTCGTATAATACACGATGTTGTAGCACTACTAGTTATATATTATGGCAATTCTCAAGAGTACTTAGGTGCCCACCAAAGATTCTCTTTCGCATAATGTGTATCAACCTTAATGCGCCACTATAGCATGCAAATTTAGTTCTATTTCAAGTCTAAAGACCCCAACATGGTTTGGGGGAGAAACACAAATGGCATGAAAGATGAAAGAAATTTGAAATTCATTCTCAATATTGTACAATAGTGAAAGTGACGTGCATAATAAGGTTTATCGAGGTTTCTCCTTTCTTCTAGTTGTCCAAACCATTTTTGTTTGCAATTAAGACAGATGTCCCTTCAACCAAGGCCTTTTTTTGGACTTATTTTAGTTCTTAGCTTTGATGTATGTAATATTATTGACGGTCACGTTACGGAACCATTCTGTCGAAGTTTGTAACCGTTAGATCAATTATTCACCGACGGTTAAAAAGAAGACCAAATCTACTTCGTCCTACTTGATATTTTTGGTGAACTCTCTCTATGGCGTTGATACGCTAATTAAGAAAGTCCACTTGCTATTGTATTCTCTTTTCTAACTTTTGTATGTGTTCCTTGTTATGATAAAATAATGGAATTTTCTAGTCATAACGCACGTTGTCATCCAAGTCACTATCTTAACGTTTGGTGAGTTCTCAAATAAATATCATGGTTTCAAAAATCGGACCGAACCGGTTGATTCGTCAGGTTGAACAGGGAAACACTCAGTCAACCGGTTCGGTTTGAATTAAAAACCCGCTTGCAAGAAAACCGGTCATTAGCCGGTCGAACCTGTCAAAAGGTTTGGGAACCGGTTAGTTCCCGTTTTGCAAAGGTACTAAATTCCAACAGTTTTATAAAGAAGCTCACTTGAGTTAGGCGATGTGGGACAATTTATATTCTCTGAAGTAGATGTTTTTATTGATCGCGTGCAACCAAAGAATTTTTCTTTTTTTTTTTTTCAAGTGCATGGTGATTGCCAAAGAAATTTTATTTTTCCTTATTTTCGAGCCACGTACATTGTGATGGAATGCCAACTACCAAGGAAAATTTATTTTTCTTTATTTTATTAGTTTATTGCTTAAATCTAAGTAAGCCATGTCTCACAACAATTTATTATGTTATTAGTTATGAAAGTAAATTTTGAGTAAAATCATATAAATGCACTCATTAGTAGTATATTTATTATTTTCTATAATTAACCCTTTTTTATAAATGTTATATATTTAATATAATGATAAATTAAATAATGGTCCAATCGTTCAATCACTGATTAGACCACTGAAAAATTGAATCAGTGATAGGTCGAAAAATGTGCGCGTTTTATATATTTAAGAGTGTATTTTTATATACTTAATTTATTCGCACGTTTATATTTTTCGACTTATTTATTATTTGAATGGATTCTGATATGGGATATTATATACTAGACCGGTTCGGAGGACACTCCAAACAGAGCAGCGTATGGGTCTGGTCGAGCAGTACCAACAGGTCCATAGAAACTCTAGCACCTGGTC